AGAAACTTTTTATGGTGTCTATAAAGTTAGCCATCATGTTTTGTTTTTTTTGGTTCTGAGATTAAACCCAGGGCCTTGCACATGTTAGGTTATCTACCACTGAGTTACCTCCCTAGCCCTTTTTATTTGAGACAGGTCTCATTAAGTTACCTGGCTGGTCTCCCACTTGTGATTCTATGCCTCGACCTCCCCAGTACTGAGATTACAGGTGATCAACATTGCACGTGGTTAGCCACCATGTTCTTTAGGCATAATAAAGTGTTTTCTTCATGACTGGTCAGGGATAACTTCTGTAATCAGCCATAAATGTACACAGTAACTGTACCACAAAATGCCTACTTCATGAGAAACAGTTTTAATTAATTAATTATTTAGTGTGGTGCTAGGGATTGAACCCAGAGGTACTCTACCACTGAGCTACATTCCCAGCCCTTTTATTTTTAAACAGGGTCTTGCTAAGTTACTGAGGCTGGACTTGAACTTGCAATTCGTTTGTTTCAGACTCCAAGTCTCTGGGATTATAGATATGCACCACCGCACTGGCTGAGATGCAATTAATTTTATAATCATAATACATCTTTATTTTTACATTGGAAAAGTTCTGTGCTTTCCATCTGTATTAATCTTGACTATTTAGAACAAATCATCTATAAAAGCAGATCATGTTCTTTCTTTTTTAATATTTGTTTATTTATTTTTATGTGGCGCTAAGGATTGAACCCAGTGCCTCACACATGCTAGGCAAATGCTCTGCCACTGAGGTACAGCCCCAGCCCCCATGTTCTTTCTCCATGGTAGTTAGACATATCACCTATAATTATATTTCCATAATGTAGCCATGTGTCCTTTGAGTTTGCTCTTATGTTATATTGCATTGGACATTAATTCTGAAGATCCAAACATTTAAACCTTCTAGATAAAACTAAACTGAATATGCAACAGCCATTTTAAATCTCAAAACTTTTTGTCTATGTTTCCTGGCAAAGGTAAAAGAAAATTAATTTTTTTTTAAAAAATTAAAGTTTATAGTGCCCTTCAAATTCCTCTTCTAACCCTGGGAAAAGAACTTTTAGGTCTTAACTATCACATTCTCTGCCAGGCCATCTGTGATTGATTGATTGACTGGTATTGAGGATTAAACCCAGAGGTGTTTAACCACTGAGCCACATCCCCATCCCTTTTTATTGTTTATTATGAGACATGGCCTTGCTAAGTTTCTGAGGCTGGCTTTGAACCTGTGATCCTCCTGCCTCAGCCTCCTGAGCTGCTGGGATTACAGCTGTGTGCCACCTCTCGCGGCTTTTTAAAATTTTTAATGTTAAAGCTTGCTAAATTTTTTGCTGCATTCATATTGACCAGCTTTCCTGAACATTTTCACCTGTGATGATAGGGCCTAGATTTAGTCATCACAAAACAGTTGAAGCAAATCAACTCCAATTTATTTTCACCTGTGAGTTCTTGTACTTACACAGTTGTTCAAGTTTCTTCTAGAAAGTACTCTTGGATTCTTTGTAGAATGAGTATGTGCTTTGGAAGAAGTTATCTCCTCATTTTCTCTAATTCTGTGTTAAAGAGTAAAATATATATAACTTCCTTCATCAGCCTAAATGACTGTTATCCACTGTTGGGAATTATTTGCAAAGACAATATTGGTGTGTGTTGTCTGTGGCATTTCTGTGGGTTTGAGGCTTCCCATCCATTGGCATCATCCTCCCTGTAGCCAGCCCTGCAGCTCCTGACCGCTAGCCACTTCATTTAATAGATGTCAGAAAACCGCTGTCCTAGCTTCACTCTGTATGTAGTGGTTTTCTGATCTAGAGTATGCAGATTACACATTTCCACCAACAGGTGGCACTGGTAATTCCCCAGTGGTAAGCTGTGTATGGTATTTGAACATGTTTGTGTTTTTTGAGTTGAAATGTATTTGATTTTAAGGGCATCTAAGGCAAAAATCATCCAGCATTTCCAGGCAAGTCTTTAGCATATTGCCTTCCTTTCCTCTCAAATTACTGGCTTATAGCTCAGTCTCTTCTTTTACTCCTAGTCTACACCTTGATTGGTTTTGCAAAAGATGAACACAAGTGATGAGAAAAACATAGGTGTAAATAGAAAATACATTTGTCAAAGTCTCTTTAGGGGAAAAGGATGACATTTGTGTTAATTGCCTGAATGAAGGGTAGAATTCAATTATGAAAAGTTTTTCTAAACATTTATTGTAGAGCTACAATTCTATATATGAAGAATACAATTCTGAATATTCTTCTGGGGGAAATGTACAGAACTCCAAGTCCCAGCTCCTATTTTTTTTTTTTTTTT